ACATCCGATGTCAGCTTTGTATTTATTGGTTGATATTCTGTATAATAATAATGACAAGATAGCAAAGGTCATAACAGATCGGAAACAAATTCTCAGGTGTCGACGCTAAGACCATTCGAGTGTTCAACCACCTGCCATACTAAGCAAGTAAGCCCTATATAAAAATGTTGATTCTAAATAGCAGAAGGTACATACAGGTCTCTTCTGTTTACTCTACCTTTCTCCCTGTTTAATAAAATGATGCCTTTGTCTACCTGCTCATTAGACAGCCGCATCTGATTGGCTGAAAACAGTCAGCCAACCATCGATAGCGTGCAAGGTTGTATAAAAAAGGGATATCTGCAGCGTTTTTCTTCTGCAGGTAATAAATTGTATAAGTTCACTTATAAGATTAAAAAAGACATTTCAAAAACGGTTTGTTTTTATTCGTTGACCAGTTAGTTAAATTCATTTCCATTTTTTCTTTTTTCTTTTCTTTTCCTTTGTCTTTTTTTCTTATTATTTTGTTAGTTGTTCAAAATATAGATAATGATACCCAACAAATCCCTCTCTTCCTCTCTTTACAATGACACACAACATATCATGAGTGATTGCATTTTCTATAAACTCGCATACCTGTTACTTTAACAGACGTACAATTAGCCTCCTCCCCAAAACCGTTTGACACGTGACAGCAGTACTTTCCTCCTGATTCTTTACCAGTGATGTTGAATGACGTCACACTGGAATTAGCTATTGTTCTGTTCTTATCCTTATGTATCCATGTATAATTGGGTGCTGGATCTCCAGAGGCATTACATCTTAATGTTATTGATTCTCCTTGTTTACCAGAAAGGTGCAAGGTTAGATTGTTGATACGAGGTAAAACTACAAAAATAAGAAAGATTAAATGTAAGATTTTAATTTTGCTTATCAACTGACCTAAATGCTATTAAAGTTGGACGATTCTTTCACAGTATTACATTCTTGTGTGAAAAAAAAAAGATTTTCCATGTCATATTTACTTGACTCTTTTCATTCTTTCTGGTGCTAAAAAAGACAAATAAATACAAGTTGGAGTAGTTTTTAGCGCAGATTTCGTATGAGTGTGAAAAGTAACGACACATACGGCACGGTTACGGTGGGGCACGGCGCAGATACGGTCACGGCAAGGTGCGGTCCATGCCGTAAATTACGTTCTTTCAACGTCGTACGAAAACAGTTCTATGCATTTGGTACCTGGCCTCTGCTCTTTTCTAAAGTGCATAACCATTTTTTTTTTCGATTTAGGACTTCCAGAACATTTATTTAGAAAATCAAGATATATCCAAGTATTAATTTGAAAATTTGTAAAAAATGGTCATTTAACGCTAAATTTTCACATGGATGAGGTTATTACTTGAGCTTTGTAACATTTCCATATTAAGGTTAGCAAATCAAGGAAATCAAGGTAAGCAAGTCTGTGAGCTGACTGATTTTCCCACTTTCGTGTCTAGATTATTGCCCGCGACAGAAAATTTAAAATAATGATAAATAGAAGAGAGAGAGAAAAAGAGAGAGAAAAAAAAACCAAAAAAAAAACAAGCAAACAAACAAACAAACAAACAAACAAATAAACAAACAAAAAACAACAACAAAGAGCAAATGTAAGTTTATGTAAAATTAGCCGTTTACCTATCACTTCAAGGGACGTACAATTAGTCTCATTCCCAAAACGGTTTGACACGTGACAGCAATACTCTCCTCCTGATTCTTTACCAGT